AAAAATGCTCCAGAATACTCCAGAATACTCCAAATTTTCGGCGAAAAATCAAAAAATGCTTGAAAACTAGGCCCCAGACTACTTTATGACTACTTTTGAATATCCCTCTTGTAGAGGGACGGGCCCGACTTGACACCAAAGGCATGGCCCAGAGCTCAGCTGGGCCCCGGAAACCCAGACTCCCTCGGGCCATGAAAAAGTCAGAACGGGAGGTGTTTCCATATTCTCGGCCTCTGGAGGCCCTCACCGGTCCTCGGGACCGTGAAAAAACTACTCGGGATGAAAAACCGGCCCAGGGGAATGGGTCGAGCCCTCTGAGGGTCGGCGTCCGGAAAAAATCATGACGTTGGAGGTCTTAGAACAATAGAACAATTGTTTTACCGGTTCCGCGTTGCTGGTTCCGTTTTGCTGTTCTTTACCACTTCTGTTTTTGCCGTTTTGTTGCCGGTTCCATCGCCGTTTGTTTGCCAGTTCCGTCGCTGTTTCGTTTCCTGTTCTGGTTCTGGCTCCGGTCCCGGAGCTGTTTTTGTTGCCGTTTCAGGTCACCGATTTTTTCCGTTTCCATTTTCAAGCGGCACATTTTCGAAAACAGTGAAAAAACGGCCCTGCCGTTTCTGGAGTACCCTAAGGCCCAGAGCAAGAGATCCTGACCACGTGTTTCAAGAAGGGGAAGAGCAAAATCAAGCTCCATACAGCCGAAAATACGAGCAAACAAACTATCACTCAAGAAACCTGGACCAGCTTCCCAGAGCTCTTCCAGCAAACTTGGGCCACCTCTGCTTGTCCTGGAACGTGCTGAAGAAACAGGGCCAGCGTTCCAGCAAGTCGGTCCAGAACCGCTGGCCCGGTCGGTCAAGAAGCGCTGGCCCAACGTTTCGGGAGGAAGTGTCTTCGTCAGATGCTCGACTGTAGTCCGCCTCTGTGCCCCCCCTGGCACGTCGAGGCGCGGCAGAATGCCAAGGGCTGTATGGTGGGGCTTTCGCTCTCTGACAAGGGACAACCCCCCCTTTCTGCTAGCATTGTGGATGCCACGACAATGGACACCCTCACAGTCCCATCATTGAATTTAAGACGTGCTTGCAATGTCTGGAGAATGTTCTAAGTCTAAACATGGTTTAAACATGATTGCTTCATGTGTAAAACGTGTTGAACACATGTTTTAGACATCTGGAAATTATTTGGCAACATGCTTCCTCTCCATTGATCGTTCTCCACAATGCTAGCAGACTCCTGCACACATCCCCCTGCTCACCGAGGCCCCTTCCTTCGCGCCCGCTCGAGGATGGTGCGCTTCCGGCACGGCAGCTAATGCCTGACCCCCCCTTCCACGCGTGCCCGCTCGACGATGGTGCATTTCCCGCGCAGCTAACGCCCGAACCCCCATTCGAACCCTCACTCCATGCTCGCCCACTCGAGGCTTGCGCACTTCCCGCATGGCGGCTACCTCCTGGACCCCTCATCACACGCGCATCCGTTCGAGGATCCTGCACCTCCCGTATTCCCAGGCGCTGCTACCAAGTGCTCCAGGGCCTCACAAGCCACGATCCCTCGATAGAAACGATGGATATGCGTCCCGAGCTTTGAAGACGGCCCGTGCAAGCAACCAAGGACACCAAGATGCCTCGAAGACGGCACAAGATGGCCCCGAGGCGGCCGAATATTGCTTCAAGACGGCCAAGGATGCCTCCAAGAGGGCCCAAAAGGGCCACAAACGGATCTCCAACAGGATTGGAGAAAGCCAAAATCTTTCGTGTCCGTTGGGTTTTTTGCATAATTTTCGCATTCTCACCGTTTCGGGCCGCTGCCAGCTCAAGACGCCCCTAAAGCACTCCACGATGGCCCAAGAGGCATCCAAGACGGCCCGGAGACGGCCCAAGAGGGACTCCCATGGGACCCAAGACGGCCTTAAAACGCCCTTCGACGGCCCAAGACGGCGCCAAGACGGCCCGCAGGCACCCACCATACAGCCAAGGGGGTCCCCAGACGGCTCAAGAGAACCCCAAGCTGGCGTAAGAGGGCACCCAGACGGCCCCAAGGGATCCCCAAGACTGCTTCGCAGGAGGCCAAGACAGCCCCAAGACGGCCCAAACGATTACAGTCATCGGCCTGACCTAAGGAACGATAAATAAGGAACGCAGCCCCTTGTTATTCCAAGTGAGTCTAAGAAGTCCGAAGGAACACCAGGGGGGCTCGCCGCCAAAAAGGTAGCAGAACGCATGCAAACCTAAGGAACGACCGAGCCCCTTTTGAAAAGGAAGCGTTCCTTATTCAAGCCGCTCACTGTAGCACCATCATCAGCATCATCAGCATCAGAATCATCATCATCAACATCATCATCAACATCATCATCATCAGCATCATGATCATTATCATCGTCATCATCATCATCAGCATCATCATCATCAGCATCATCATCACCAGTATCATCAGTATCATCATCAGCATCATCATCACCAGAATCAGCAGCAGCAGCATCCTCATCTGCAGCAGCAGCATCATCAGCAGCATCAGCATCATCATCATCAGCGTCGCCACCACCACCACCATCATCATCACCATCAGCAGCAGCATCGTCATCAGCACCGCCAGTATAACCATCATCATCATAACCCCAGTCTTCATCATCCACAACATCAGCATCAGCATCACCATCTTGATCGTCATCATCAGCAGCAGCAACATCATCATCATCCTCATCAGCATCACCGTCATCATCATATTCATCATCATCAGCATCATCACCATCATCAGCATCGTCATCAGTATCATCATCGTCGTCGTCATCGTCACTAGCATCACCATATTCATCATTATCATCATCACCACCACCACCAGCATCAGCATAGTCAGCAGCATCGTCATCGTCATTATCATCGCCATCACCATCATTTGCACCATTAGCATAATCATCAGCAGCAGCAGCATCATCAGTAGCATCATCGCACTAGCAGTATCTTCATCATAACCGTCCTCATGGCCATAAGAATAATAGTCATCATCATCAGAATCATCATCATCATCATCATCATCATCATCATCATCATCATCATCATCATCAACAGCATCATCAACAGCATCATCGTCATCGTCGTCATCATCATCGTCATCAGGATCAGCATCATCAGCATCGTCATCGTCCTCATGGTCATCATCATCACCACCATCGTCATTATCACCAAAACTACCCTCACCAGCATCATCATCATCAGCAGCAGCAGCATCATCAGTAGCATCATAATGAGCATAACCATCAACAAAGCATCATCGTCATCGTCGTCATCGTCATCCTCATCATCGTCGGTTATCACCATCATCATCGACATCATCGACATCATCCCCATCATCCGCATAATCATCATCAGCATCATCATCAGCAGCAACATCATCATCGTCATCATCAGCATCAGCATCATCACCATCACCATCAGCAGCATCATCATCACCACCACCATCACTTGCACCATTAGCATAATCATCAGCAGCAGCAGAAGCATGATCAGCAGCATCATCGTACTAGCATTATCTTCATCATAATCGTCATTGTGGCCATGAGAATAACAGTCATCAACATCATCATAAAAATCATCATTATCGTCAGCATCCTCAACAACATCATCGCCATCCTCATCATCATCATCATCATCATCATCATCATCAACGTCATCAGCATCATCATCAGCATCGTCATCGTCATCATCATCACCACCATCGTCATCACCACCATCGTCATCGTCATCCTCACCATCATCATCATCATCATCATCATCAGCAGCATCATAATTAGCATAATCATCAACAAATCATCATCGTCATCGTCATCATGGTCATCCTCATCATCATCATCGATCATCATCATCATCATCATTATCATCATCATCGACATCATCGACATCATGGACATCATCCCAATCATCCGCATAATCCTCCTCAGCATCATCATTAGCAGCAACATCATCATCATCATCATCATCATCATCATCATCATCATCAGCGTCATCATCATCGTCATCAGAATCATCGGCGTCATCATCATCATCATCAGCATCAGCAGCATCATCATCATCATCGTCATCATCCTTATCACGGCTCTCCCAAAGCTGGAGACACGAGGTGTGTGACGGCCTCCCGTGCCCCCTCGGACAGTTGCCACCGAGAATGCTGGACTGGCACGGTGGCGGGACTTGCCGTGGGCAGCTGGAGGAGGACGCAAGGCAGGGAGGCAAGACCCTTGGAAGCCCCACTTACTATTCAGAGCTCCCTGGACGTCAACACTGGCTAAGGATGGGCCGACGAAGCAGGGATGCAAGGGTACCGAAGCAGCGCATCCTACCATGAATCTCTGCTGTAAGCATAAATTGTCTTGGATCTGCGCTGGTGAAGGGGCCCTGGGACACACAAATAAACACACACAAATAACAAGATTTCCCATATTTTCCAATATTTTGTGGGGTTTTGTCTTCCCCCCCACTTACAATATTTTCCCATGTTTTCCTGGGAGTCGACGATGAATTGTGTCTGTGTTTTTTTCCCTCCTGAGCTGGAGACCCCCTCCCTGGGGCACGGAGCGCGCCGGGGGGCGGCGCCGGAGGCGCTGCCAAGGGGGCCCAACGCAGACCCAACAAAAGTCAAGGCGGGCCTCCGAAAGTCGATGCGCATTGCGATATGTACAGTCAACCCGCAGAGTACGGATGCGCGATAAGGATGCAAGGGCCTTGGACGCCCATTTCGAAGCTTCCCGAGCGGGGCGCTGCCAACGAAAGTGGCCAAGGATGGACCCAGGAGGCAAGGATGCAAGGGTACCCTTGGGAGGGATGCCTATCCTTACTCTGCGGGTCGACTGTATGTATTGTTCGATGTCCTCGACTTGATCAGAAGACCAGATTAGAGGGCAGAAGAAAACACCCTCGTGAGAAGCACTCCCTACAAGCGAAACCCCTCAGCATACGCACCTGAGAGAGAGAGAGAGACAACGGACAGGGCCGGACTGCCCAGTGTGGTGATCGGAGTGGCTAGGTGAACCGATTTCCCGTCCTCGACTCTTTCGACTGCGCGCACAGCCAGAGCGAGCAGAAGTGTGGTGGCGGCTGCAGCAGTCCCACCCGCGCTGGCCTTTGCCCACTCGGGGGCAGAGCGCACGCCGATCCGGACCCCGTGGGCCCGATGGCCTCCAGCCAGCGCAGGCGCCTGCAGAGCAGCCAGGGGCCGTTCGACGGCGGCTGGGCTCAGGCCGCCCACTCCTGCCGCTTGAAGGAGACCCGGCGCACGGGGTCGAACGGGAAGAGGCCCTCGGCAGCCGCCTGCGGACGGGTTGAGGAGGAGCAGCATAAGCGACGACAGCAGGAGAGGGAAAAAAGGAGGAGGGGGGGGGGACGACGAGGTGGATATGGAACTAGTACCATCGCGCGCGCTGCGCGCGCGCTCGAGTTCTAGCTAGGCTGGATGGTCGAACTCTTGGGGATCTCTACTATTTGACACTTCTTCTCTGGGGCTTCCAAGAAAAACGAAGACGGCCCAAGTAGCTTCCAAGACTTCCTACGGTCCACCCACGACGGCTCAAGAGAGGCCCAAAAGGTACTTCGAGGGCCATTTGATTCGCCGCAGCTGGACGTAGCCGGGGGAAGAGGGAGAAGGGAGGTGAAGGTGTTCCCAGGGGGGAAGGAAAAGGAGGATGAGGAGAAGTTGGAGGGGGTGGAGGAGGCCGCAGAGCAGGAGGAACTGGAGGAGGAAGAGGAGGAGGAGATTGGATACCTATACGACCACCCTTCGGGTGATAAGGAGGTTGTGGGGGGGGAGAGGGGGGGGACCAACATCTGCCTCAATCGATCTCACGATCGATCTCACTCAACGGGACACCACGGGACACCACGGGACACCTGCCGATCTCACTATCGATCTCACTCAACAGGACACCACGGGACACCTCGGGGCACCACATCGATCTCAGTATCGATCGCACTATCGATCTCACTATCGATCTCACTCAACGGGACACCATTGGACACCACGGGACACCTCGGGACACCTGTCGATCTCACTATCGATCTCACTATCGATCTCACTATCGATCTCACTATCGATCTCACTATCAATCTCACTCAACGGGACACCACGGGACACCACGGGACACCTCGGGACACCACATCGATCTCACTATCGATCTCACTATCGATCTCACTATCGATCTCACTATCGATCTCACTATCGATCTCACTCAACAGGACACCACGGGACACCACGGGGCACCACGGGACACCACGGGACACCGCGGGACACCGCCAGCCACCGCCAGCCACCGCGGGACGGGCGGGCGGGAGGGGGAGAATCATTTGTCTTGACTTCGCCCTAGCAACGGCGGACACCACGGGACACCACGGAACACCACGGGACACCGCGGGACACCGCGAGCCACCGCTGGACGGGCTGGCGGGAGGGGGAGAATCATTTGTCTTGACTTCGCCCTAGCAACGGCGGACACCACGGGAAACCACGGGACACCGCGGGACACCGCCAGCCACCGCCAGCCACCGCCGGACGGGCGGGCGGGAGGGGGAGAATCATTTGTCTTGACTTCGCCCTAGCAACGGCGGGTTCAGTCTTCTCGCGCGCCCACGCAGCTTCGCCTCGCCCGCACGCACGACACGAACGAAACGAAACGATTTCCCTGTTGGGGGTCTCCGTTCCACTGCGATCTCACCCCCCAACCTCTGATTTCCTATTCTTGCAAGCGTAGCGAGGCTGCCAAGCGAACTTACAAAAAGAAATGTTGGAATTCCCATTTTTCTCAAGTGCCCTCGGGGCCTCTCTCGGGGCTCTTTTGGGCCTCTTTGAGGCTTCTTGGGGACCTCTTGCAACCTCCTGGGGGTCTCCTTGGCCGAAGATCTCAGGTTCTCGGTTCACGTTCCCGGTCCTGGGCCGATGTTGGGCCCTCTCGGGCCGTCTTGGACGTCTCTTTGGCGCTTTTGAAGCCTAACCTCATGCCCGTGAGAATAAACACTAGGGGATAATAAAGTTCGGGGTTCAGGGAGAGATAATAAAAGTAGCCCAGCAGACCTCAGCATAATCTCGAAGTAAGAGATGATCAAGAGGAGACCAAGCCGAGCACGTTTTGAGACATCCTTGGCGTTTAGTTTTCATAGAAATATCCTCAACAATGGCTTATCTCTCATGAAAATTGTTTTTTGTAAGTGCTCGTGTAGGGTAGCTCATGTGCCTCAATTTCCATGGATAATCAACCCCAGAGATAAACAAGTTCAGGCGAGCGTGGGGACAGAGAGAAATATAAAAGAAGAAGAATACAGTAGAAGAATAATAAGAAAGAAGAAGAGGAGAATAAGAAGAGGACGAAGAAAGGACAAATCCAAAGTTCCAAATCTATCAATTTTAATTTACAAACGCTTTATGAAAATTGTTTTTTTTAAGTGCTCGTGTAGGGTAGCTCATGTGCTTCGTTTTCCATGGATAATCAGCCCCAGGGATAAAAAAAAGTTCAGGCGAGCGTGAGGACAGATAGAAATATAAAAGAAGAAGAGGAAAGTAGAAGAATAATAAGAACATTGCTCGTTTCGTTTGAGTCTGCCTCCCAAAATGATTGGTTTCGCTTGACACATCCTGAAAAAGTGTGATCGCTTCGCTTGATGTTGCTATATCAACATCGCTTGATGTTGCTATCTCAACATAGCGTTTCGAGGTGATAATGAAGTTCGGCCTCAGCGCTCGCCGCCCAATTTGAATTTTGTATAGGGCGACGATAATCAACTCTAAACACTGAAGGGGGGGGTCCCTTTATTATCATCGGCATGCGGTTATTGGACCGTCTTGGGGCGCTTCTGAAGCCTATTTAACCATGGGGCGATCCTCGAAAGAGCCTCTTGGGAGGTTTTGCAGCGTCGGGGAGCGGAACAGGCGGAAACGCCAAAATTGTTCAAAAACCTATGGAACATATGTTGTTTGGCCTCTTCGAGCTTTGTTGGGGGACCTCTTGGAAGCCTCTTGGGGATCTTGGGGGCCTCTTGGGCCGTCTGGAGGCCGTCTTGGGCGTATTGAACCATCTAGTGGCCTTCGGCCCATGCCGCCACTATGCCTGGGTTGTGGGTCAAGGCCTCTTGGAAGTTCGTTTGGAATCCGTGACTCTTGAAGGCAGTTTTGGAGGCCTCTTGGGGGCCGTTGGGGGGGGGGGTGCTCTTGGAGCCTCTTTTTAGACCTCTCGGTGGCCTCGTGCGGCCTGTAAGGGGCCTCTAGGGGGCCTCTTGGGCTCTCTTGGGGGCCTCTTGGGGCCTCCTGGGGGTCTCTTGGGGCGGAAGGCTCGACTTGTCGGTTCGTGTTCCCCCTCTTGGTACCCCTCGGGGCCGCTTCGGGGCCCTCTTGGACGATCTTGGGCGCCTCTTGGGACTCTTGGGCCGTCTTGGGACTCTCTTGCGCCGTCCTGGCGCCCTCTGTGGGTGCCACTTGAGCCGTCGTGAGCTGACTTCTGGGGCCTCGTGGGCGGTCTTGGACCGTCGGAAGCACGAAAAAGCGAGAACACGAATAACCTTCAAAAACCTCAAACCTATTAAATAAAAAACGCCTTGTGTTTCGCCTCCTGAGGGCCTCGTGGGAGTCCTTTGGAGGGCCTCTTGGCCGTCTTGAGGCCCTCTTGAGCTGTCTGCAAGCTATGTTGAACCAATGCTAAAACGTAATTGTGCGGTCTTGGACTCTCTTGGAGCGCTCTTGGACCATCTTGGCGCCCTCTTGGACGTCTCTCGGGCCCTCTCGTCGCCCCCCTTCCCCTCCTTTGGCGCGTTCTGGCGCCCTCCGGTGGGTCCAAAACAGCCAGGTACGAAATCAGTGCACTCCGGGGCCCCCGGGACCCCCTTCCCATATACATATATATATATATATATATACATACATATACATACATACATACATACATACATACATACATACATACAGACAGGCAGGCAGGCAGGCAGGCAGACAGACAGACAGACAGACAGACAGACATACACACATACACACATACACACATACACACATACACACATACACACATACACACATACGTACATACATACATACATACATACATACAAACATACATACATACATACATACATACATGCATACATACATACATACATACATGCATACATGCATACATGCATACATTACATACATACATACATACATACATACATACATACATACATACATACATACATACATACATACATACATACATACATACATACATACATACATACATGCATGCATGCATGCATGCATACATACATACATACATACACATACACACATGCACACATACATTCATACATACATACATACATACATACATACATACATACATACATACAGACAGACAGACAGACAGACAGACAGACAGACAGACAGACAGACATACATACACGTGCGTGTGTGACTGTCTGCGTCCTCATGATATATATATATATATATATATATGTATATATATATGTATATACATACACGTGTGTGTGTGACTTTCTGCGTCCTCATGCAAACTAACACCGCGCCGCCCCCGAACGCCGTTGCCAGCACCGCAGCCGCACAACGCCACCACATCGCCCACCAGGCGGTCGGGAGAGCTGCAGTGCCAGACCAAAACTGCGCCACTGCACTGGCAGGGGACGGCCCCCGCGCGCCGGCCACTCTAAAGACCGCGGGGCGCCGACCCCTTGTAAAAAAAACAGGAGCGCCCCTCGGCGTGCTGGCCGTCGCCACAGCCTTCCAAGAGCGAGAGCGGCACGGGGTGCACCTCTCGGGGAGGCAGAGGCGCCGTGGGGAGCAGCCGCGAGCGCTTCCAAAACAGATTACGCCACCGAGGAGCCCCACACACTTACTTTTTTTCCCCCCCCATGTCGCCGTTTCGTCACCGCTCCAATTCGTCACTAGCCGCGGGGCTTCAACCGCCACCACCACAGCTCCGGAACCGGGTACTGCGAGGGCTTTGGTTTTGGCCGCACTGTGTCCATGGGCCACGATCAGATGATGAATGCCGTGCCAGGAGCCCCCCACACACTTACTTGATGTCGCGTGTGTCCACGTACCATGTCACATCCTGCTTCGCGCGCGCTCAGGTTCTCAGGGATCCCAGCTCGCAGTGGGGTGTCGAGGGTTGGGCGACGGCAGTGGATAGGGCTTCGGTCCGAAAGCGCTACGGAAGCACGCAGTAAACAGCCCCTCTCTAAGCACGGGGGTCTCCAGAAGGACAACGACGAGGACGAGGGAGGCGTTTTGGAGGTCGAGAAAGAGGGGAAGAGCCCACGAGCATGACGGCGAC